AAAACTTAGTCAGCCTTTCCCATTTAGTTCATCAGCAGGCAAGTCCAAATAAGCATGGATCCTATGTCCTAATGTTGTCATGACTGGTCCACCAAATATAGACTAGAAAGTTATGTTCCAATTTCCGGTCCCTTTCTCTGAGTTAGACAAGCTGAGGAAGAAAAACACTATTGGACCAAAAACTCTATGGACACATTATGTGTGTGTTTTTCAAAAGATGTCCGTTTGCTATTTGAAATTTAAAAAGGAAGAGGTTGGAGTTGGCAAAGAATATCACTGGAACTCAAGGGCAAAATCATCCATACTCTGTGAAAGTAAGACAGTGAAGAATGAGAGGGGAAAAATCAAGTCATTTTAAATGTGTTGGTACAGATAATAAAGACAGCCAGAAAAGCAAGTGCTCAATAAAATCAAGCCTGAACTCTCACTAGAGCAAAAACAAGTAAGCTAAGCCTATCTTACCATAATGGAAATACAGTAGTGACCGGAATAGACTATATTGTTAGGAAAAGTGGGGGTGACCCAGTAGACAAAGAGGAAGATCTAACATGAGATGAGTTGATTTAATAAAGGTATTCAAGTCTTATCTTTAGGACTTCTGGATATTACTTTAACAAAAGCAGCCATCAACCTACCTTCATTCACCCTGAGGCCTTAATCTAGTTTGCAGCTTTGAAGATTTCCCAATTGGTCATAGTTTTGTTTTTTTGCTATCAAACCCACTAGACTTGCTGGATTTAATGTCAACTCCTTTAACATATAGCATTTATTACATATATAACCCATTTTTTTCTGCTAACAGATGGTATTGGAAATGGCAATGTACTTCAAATTCCTTTATTAGCTGTTTCCTTCCATTCAGAATGCTTTTTAGGCAGTTTTGCCAGAATGAGCTAAGAGCCTTTCCCACATTTTGGTTTATTCTTGGCCTGTAATATTCCTGGAGCAATCAATAATAATAATAATAATCTCAAAACTGAAGAGTGGAAGGGACCCTATGGATCATCAAGTTCCACCCCTGTCATGGAGGTACAGTGGGGAGTTAAACTCTCAACCTAAACTACTGAGCTATCCAGCAGTTCCAATCCATTGGCAAATTGGAAAACTTCTAAACATTGTGAAGTTTTCCAGTGCAAATGTTGCTCCAAATACCAAGTAATGACAGAAGCTTGGTAACAACTGAAGGGTTTGTTTGTTTCTTTATGGAGATTAGACGGAAATTGTGAGAGAACTTAATAATTTCTATATGCAGGTGCTGCAGCAATCACTAAATGTAAGAATCTGGGGATGCAATCCATATAGTTCTGTGCACACTTACTGAGACAAATGCTAACCAAACATATGCACATAGATCTCTGCTGAAAAAAACAAGATAAATATTCTTGGCTATTTTAACTGAGCCTTTATTGTTTTGTTGCTTTATAATTCTCTCCTTGTTTTCTCTTTTGCCCTACTCACTTATGGAATATACTGTACCTCCCAAGACTCTTCTGATATTGGAATTTGGCTCTCAATCAGAAAATATTTTTCCGTTCTCGGATTAATGAGGGCCCTGGGCTAACTTCACTATTACACTACTACTGTAAGTCACAAAACAGGGACGTAGATGGACTTTAGACAAAGGCATTGATTTTTGATAATAGTTTGGCTAGCTCCTGTTTGGGCAACATGTAGTTCAGGAAAGGAGCGCACTGCTCACTTTAAATCAGGCTAATCTCTTTTGGGAAAGGGTGGGGTAAAAGTGCAAATAGGGGACATAACCACACCCATATAGAAAAGAAAAGCTCTGTTGATTCTCATGGAAGACGGAGAGCCAAAGCATAGTGTTGAACATGGGACTTTGTTCTAGCTTATTTTAGATCCCAGGAGACATGTGAGAGGAGGCCTGCTTCTATAATTTTAAGGAGGCCCCTCTTTCCAGAGATGGGTAAAATTCAGGACCTTTCCTTGAAAAGAAAGGAAATATCTTTCAGATATCTGAAGTGGATCAGATATTCCCCAGACTTCCACATGCTGTATAGATATGGGGAAGGGAATGTATATTTGCTTATAGCAAGACAGGTTTATAGTACCCCTCTATTCCTCTCTTTATAAAATCAAGTAACTTCTGCTTCTACAACCACAGCACAGAACTAACACTCTACATGCAAAGATACACTGGAAATGTTAAAGAAAACCTGAATTAGGTATTTCTTTTAACTATCACATTTGCTGGTTTAAAAAAGGAGCTGTAATGTTGTTCAATGACTTTTAAAGTAATTCAGGCAATGTTGTTGCTGTGATGTGCTATCAAGTCAACTCCAACTTATGGACAACCCTATGAATGAGTGAGCTCCAAAATGTCCTTGTCCTCAATTGCCCTGCTCAGCTCTTGTAAACTTAAGCCTGTAGTTCCTTTAAGGAGTCAATCCATCTTGTATTGTCTACCTCTTTTCCTGCTGCCTTCCACCTTTACCAGCATTATTGTCTTTCCCAGAGAATACAGCCTTCTCATGATGTGCCCAAAATAGGATAGCCTCAGATTCAACATTGTTTCCTCCAGAGATAGTTCAGGCTTAATTTAAACTAGAACCAGTTGTTTCTCTTTTTGGCAGTCCAGGGTATCCATAAAACTCTCCTCTAACAAATCAATTTTTCCCCATGTGAGCTTTCTTAAGTGTCCAGCTTTCACACCCATACATGGTGACTGGAATTACAAGAGTGTGTATGACCTTGGCCTCCAGTGACACATCCTTAAACTTGATGATCTTTTCTGTTTCCTTTATTGCTGCCCTTTCTGGTCTTAGTCTTCTGATTTGTTTACTCCAATCTCCATTTGGATTGATGATTGAACCAAGGTACAGTATACAAAATCTCTATTTCCGGTAATGTAGTTTACCCCGTTACACTGTTTAATCACTTTTAAGTTAAAAAGTAAAGCAAATGGTCCAGCCTTCTGCCCTTTCAATGCACACACCAAATGGGGTCTTGTTCATATGTTAGTGGTGCTAAATACAGAACTTTGGCCAACATCCAAATATGTTCTTCTGTTGGATCCCACTGCTTCTACTGTGATTCTCGTGTTAATCCTCCTCATGAACTCTAAAAACTGTACTAAAAGGTTGGGAAATCCTCTGGGACAGGTTTTTTTCACCATAGGGAATAGCAGCAGTAGGAGGGGGAAATGCACCCATCCTCTTAGTGCTGAATACCAACATTCACCATTGGACTGTTGTCTTTAGTAAGTTACAAGGATGGGCACTATAACTGGAAATGGACTGAACAAGGGGCATGTATGTAATTTTGAGGGAATGATGAGACACAGCAAGTAGTCATTTACACTACTTTTTGAAGGAACACATCTAGAATCAGGTTATAGAAGTGGCCCTACTCAAATGCTAAAGATACAAAAATTCTTGGTTTCCAAAGCAAACATAAGAGTGGTATGGTAACTTATGAAAAATAAAAAGTAACTCTGAAGCTTAGGAAATAAGCACAGCATATGATTTCCGAAGTACACTGCCAATTTTGTAATTAAACGTTCAGCTTGTTCAAACTGGTCGTTTCGGGTATGGGGTGGAACAAGGACCTGTTGAGGTCTGGGGGGAGGAACAATGTGCCATTTGGAGTGTTCCTCCCATCCCAACAGCAAATAGCTCATTGTAGCCCAATCAGCTGTTAATTAAGTGCTTGACCTGATCATCTGCAGAGGGTCAAGGAAAGTGAAATTGTTTTTTAAAATATGGCTCTTCTCTCCTTCCGTTTTCTCCCTTAACCCTCCCTGCTTTACTTCCCTCCTTCTCCCCCCACTTTTGGAACCTGCAATCAGGATGGCAATAGGAAGCTGAGGCTGCTATCTCACCGCTAAACAATGTGTGCCAAAAAGAATGCATGCCCTACCACTGGGCCAGAAAAGTGTGCAATAGGTCTTAAAGGGGAAGGGTCAATTGCAGATTAGGGTCATTCCCCCCCCCCCACAATCCAAACCATGCAATCAGCAATCCATATATCACTTCTATATGCCAGTGTGAATATATCTCACAGGATGGCTGACTGGATAGCTCAGTGGTTTCAGTATGTGCCTGTGGAGCCAGAAGTTGGGAGTTCAATTCCCCACCATGTCTCCAGTGAGTAAAGCTAGCCTGTGTGGCCTCCGGCAAGCTGTAGGGCAGGGGTTTTAAACTCAATTTACCTGGGGGCCGCTAGAGACAGAGTCTGGGTGAGGCTGGGCTGCATCAGATTTTCCGCCAAGTGGAGCAAGTCTGAGGAAGCCGCCCAGGAGTTTCCTTAGCCGACAGTCAGGTGGGCTGGCTGGCAGGCTGCAGTTCTGGATGGAGGGGACAAGAGGTGCTGTCTTGGGAGAGAGCCGGCGAGCGAGGCAAGGCTTTTTTTTTACTCTTGACAGCAGAGGATGTGTGGGCGCTTTGGGGGGGCAGGCAAGGCGAGGGCCACAAACTACCATCTGGGGGGGCCGCAAATGGCCCCCGGGCCGCATGTTTGAGACCCCTGCTGTAGGGTAAACCCAGAAGAAGGGAATGACCACTTCTGAGTATTTTCCACTTGGAAATACCCTGAAAAGGGTTGCCAGCAGTCACAACTGACTTGACAATACATTGTCATCATCCCATAGAATCGCTTTGAACCTTGCCTCCCTCCCACCAAAATATGAAATTTTGTGTATGTGTGTAAAACTTTCAGAAACGAAGCGTATTTTACATTTGTGTAGATAGGTATATCTGAACTGCTAAAGACTGAAGACCAATTATGTTGGGAGTTAGGAGACTTGGGCAGGAGGGAAGTGCTCATAAAATAAGTCAGGTGTCTTGCAGGCAGCGATTAACGTTCAGTCAGGTACGGAGACTTTTCATAAAAAATGGGACTCGCGAGCCAGACATCCACTTCCTCTTAGCGGTGGCCTCTCTCGAGGGCAGGGCCGTTGGCGCGCCAATTCCCCGGCGCTTCCTTAAGCCTCAGCCCAGCCTCCCGCCGCCGCCTCCCCGCCCCCTGGCTCTCCTTCCCCGCCAATTCGCCCAAGTGCTAGAATAAAGTTCGGGGCCGACGGGGCGGGCGGGCTTTTATTTTCCCTTTAAGCAAGACGAGCCGCGGCCCCCGTGGCGACTCCCCGCTCGTTCTCCCCCTCGACCATGGCGTCGGCCGAGCTGGCTGAGAAACTCCACCGTCGCTTGCTGCGGGACGGGAGCACCTCGGAGCCTCCTCCGGGGGAAGCGGGTGAGAGTCTCGCCCCTGAAGAGATTGAGCCTGCCGGGTCGGAATCGAGCTTTATAGACCCGGACGAGGACCAGAGCCCCGTGAGCTCGGCCGCTGACCCGGAATTGAGCGCCAAACTGAGCCGCAGGCACGACATCAACGCGGGCGCGGCGCGGCCCCGCCTCGCCCAGGTCTTCAACCCCTATACGGAGTTTAAAGAGTTCACTCGCCGGCAGATCAAGGATATGGAGCGCATGTTCCGACTGTAAGCACCGCCCTGGTCCAGTCCGGCCCTCCTTTTCCTTTGCAGACCCCGATCCTGGCAAACTTGAGAAGGGTCCCATTGATTTCTCCCCCACCCCCATCCTTTTGGAGAGCTAAGCCTACCTGATTCGGAATAGGATCTAACTCCCAAGTGCCTTTAAAAGTTTTTCCCACGCAGAACACTTTAACTAGGATAGGTAAATCCTATTAGTTGAGTGCAACTTACAGCTCCTTGCCGAGAGAACTAAGGATTGCAACCTTGCGGTCTGCACTTACCTTTTTAGAAGTGACCTGTACTGAGTTTGTTAGTTTATGCATTTGTGGGGGCAGCCTCGTTTATTAAAGGAGGAAAAGTCGCAACTTCATTCACGTGCAGTAGTCCAACTTGCATTGGAGGCTGGTGTTGTGTTGGTGCCTAGTTGGTTAACTTCTCTTTCCACACTGTGTGTTGTAACTACATTGAGCAGTTGACAAGTATAGGATGACAAATGCAGGATTGTAAAACCATAATTTTGTATGTGCTTATTGGGGAATAAGTCTTATTGAACTCAGTGGAATGCACTTCTCAGTAGACATGTGTACTATCCTACTGCAGCAACTTCTTTTACAGCTGGCATTTGTAATGTTTTGTGATGCTCATGCAGAGGAGTTCTGTACATGATTTCTCAGTCTTAAGGTATTACATTCAGTGGATCTTAGGCCTAGATAAGTAAGTATAGAATTGCAACAGTAGTTCCGAAGAACTGGAACTTTTGTTATAGTTAGGATAATGTCAAGTTTCTTCAATGAAGTTTTTTTAATTGCAGCTCTTCCCTGGCGAAAGCAGATTCTTTGTCAGGCTTCTTTCTCTAACGCTATTCTAGTCTCACATAATCTTCTTTATTGCTCATTTGGAAACAGGTGAGGTCTTAAGAACAATATAGAGAAGTATAGAGATATTTGCACTTTTCTTTAAGACTACTGTGAGCTCATGCAAGCAGTGCAGACCTATTCTCTTTTTTCTGCTTTACTCTGTTCAAAAAGCTTATATTCACTTGCTAAGTTGAAAACAGGTTGCAGAAATGGGAACATCGAAAACCTTGCACAGTGCTGATTTCCCCCCTGTGGTCTAGGTTTGGAGCAATTTATATTTGCTTGTAATGCTCAAAAAGACACATTGCAATAGAAAACCTGACCTCCGCCCTGCAATGTCAGCTGCAGTTATATTTAGCATGTTCTTTATAAGATATGGAAAATTACTGTTTGTGACTTGTCCCAGTGTTACTAAAAAGACCTCTGGAAACAGATTTTTGCTAGCATAGTCATGTTAGCTGCAATTCCTGTCATAGTTACTCAGAAATAAGCTCTACTGTGTTCAGTGTCTGTTTAGGACTAAAGTCTAAATCCAGATAGTAGTCACATGCTCTGTTGATCTGAGCTGGGCTTTCTTTTGAGTAAATATATCAAGGACTGGACTGTATGAGAGTTCTGACACTGCAAATTGGCATTCCTTTAGCTGGCAATAAAAATATAGAATGAATGTCTCTCATTTATTTCTGAACAAGATGACATGAAGCAGGAACTAGTTAAAAATAGCTCAATTTGTTATTGTGCAGGATTAGGGAGCATTCACATAGAAGTGCAGTCTTTCTGTTCATTTTCAGACTGATCCCATTTGCCCAGTGTAAGACTCAGAATCCTTTTATCCTGGAATAGAAGGTGGCACCAAGCATCTATTTATAAAGTTGATGAAAAACCAATTTCTTTATAGTGTGGGGATTGACAGCTGCAATAATGTCATCATTATTTAGTGTTGTAGCTAAAGGCCCCTTCAGTCTTGATTCAGCACTGTCTTTCTGTTTTTAAGGTGGTTGCTGGAGGAATTAGAACCGAAGTGCAAAGTTGAGCACACATTTAAGATACACTTCTGGATGCATACAGCACATTCCAAGTTTAGGAAGATGAGATTATGCAGCCTTTGAAACTGGCAGAGACTAAGTAAGATCATTTGTATTTCACTTCCTTGGAGACAAGGCAGTGAAACAGGGTTTTCTCCCTCACCCTGCAAAAGAGAGCTGCATGAAATCTTCACATTTAAGTAAATGCTGTTGGATTTTGAATGGGATGAATGACATAAACCTTTGCTTGTTTTCCTAGGTTGAATGTGATGGAGGACAGTAATTTAAGATGGTATCAGTTTTGTGCCCTTGCTAGTTCACACCCTTTCTCAAAAGTCACATGAAGGTATTATTTTGTAGTGTAATATACTTTCAGCCATGCTTATTAATATGTGCTTGTTTATTTTCCTATAATGTGAAAGCTTTGCCTCTTGCCAACAGAAAGGGAAGTTTTTGTAAAATGAAGAGGATTGTTCTGGTCTAGGTCCCTTGCTCTTTTTGGTTATTAATATGTAACAAATTACATTGATACGTGGGTTGTTTTTTTTTTTAACTAAAAACATTGTTGGTTATTATTAACTTCTGGAGGAATTTTATAAAGGAAAAGACATGTACACACTGGCTGGAATCCTGTTGGTGCACCTCTGTGTGCATTAGGCTGATGATGTCATCAGCCTCAGGAATTTATATTTAATTAAAAGTTTCTGTTCTCTGAAGCTGCCTAGGGATCTCTTTCAGCTTGGGGAAGCCTTGGGGGGGGGCTTTAAATGGGAGAGAAAGCCTTTAATCTCCAAAAGTTCCTGCTGCTGGTCATCCTGCTAGGACCTTCTTGTCTTTGTCTTTTTTCTTCTGCAGCCATTCCAAATATTTCAGCCTAGATTGAAGTAATGTTGTCCAAAGGTGAACTAGCAAATACAGTATTTAAAGGAAGGTTTGCATACTAGGATGTGCGTATAGGAATGGATAGCCCTGACAACATCTGAAAGTAGGGTGGCTTTGATTTCAATTTTTTAAAAATTTAATTTTTGGATGATTTTAAAAAATCATTTAAAAATTCATTCATGATTTAAATCAGTTTGATTTAAGAAATCTTTGTGTTTTTTAAATCATCCTGTCGGGAACTTTGTATAAAATTTTTTTTTTGGGGGGGGGAATAGTTTCCTCCACACATTTCCTTTCAGCTGGGGCAATCAGGTAAAAAAAAATGGACTGAATCAGACTAAAGTTCTATATAGTTCAGCATTCCGTTTCCCGTGGTGGCCAGTCTGATGCCCCTGAGAAGCGTATAAGCAGGGCACAAGAGCAATAGCTATTTTCCACCCTTGGAACTCATGTTAAGAGTCATGCTGTCTCTGATTCTGGCATAAAAACCAGCTATATACTCCATGGATTTGTCTTGGCTCCTTTTAGCATCCTCATAGGTGGTGGCTTAACCGCCACATTATGACATTGTGGTTTAACTAGTTTCTGTGTGTCATGAATCTTCTGTCATTGAATCTCCAGCTTTATTGAACCAAAAGTTCTATGATACACGAAGATGGGAAACTTGACATCTTAACTTTTTCCATATCATACAGTATGTGGTATAAGCCCGTGTCCCAATTCCTTATTTTTTCTCTAAATCAAGGTTGGGTAGCTCCTCACATTGACTGCCTGGCCAGCACTAATGGGTGTTGCAGTCTGAAGAGCCACACATTCTCTTCCCTGTGAAATATCTGGATAGTCACACATTCTTCTCCCTATGAAACCCTTGGAAACCTGCCTTGTTTGTGGTTTAACCCCTTAGTAGCCCTCATTCTCCCTTGCTGACAAACTGTGCCCTTCAGCTTGGAGGCCTCTTCCCACTTAACTGTCTTTTCTTGCCTAGAGGTGAACTCCTACATACAGAGTCCAGCTGTTGTGGAAAGCCATGACAGGTGCAAACTATAGTCTAAGGCAGGCTTGTCCAACCTGCGGCCCAGGTCGGCTCATAATGCAGCCCAGTGCAATTTTTTATTTTTAAAGAAGTTCCAAAGTTTCAAGTTACACTGCCGGTGCTTGCGGCCGGAATGCGGCTGGGGCACGTCACAACTGTAGGGGGGGGGGAGAGAGGGAAGGAAGGAGCGCGAGGAGAGGGGAGAGGGGGGCTGCGTGACTGCATTACGCCATCCCTGTCAATAGGTGGACCCCCTCCCAGCCCCATAAAGCCACCGGAGTCGAAGCTGGCAGCCTCTGCTGTCTGAGATTGCAGCTGCCGGTAAGCGCGCTTGAAGCAGGGCTGCGGAGGATGGCTAGGGCTGCCCCCCCATGCGGCCCAAACCAAATTTATGTGCAGCCCAAACCAAAATTTCATCTTCTAATGTGGCCCAGGGAAGGTGAAAGCTTGGACACCCCTGGTCTAAGGCATTGTATTGTGAATGGGAAATGCTTTGCTGCAAACACATCTTTTGAGAATTTAGATGTTGTTGGGGATGGCCACACTTGTTTATTCATGCTTGTACTGTACCGTGTTTCCCAAAAAATAAAACAGGGTCTTATACAGTGGTGCCTCGCTTAACGATTACCTCATGAAACGAAGAATCCGCTTGACGATGCGTTTTTTGCGATCACTTTTGTGATCGCAAAATGATGTTTCACTGGGCAATTTTTGTTTGACGATGATTGGTTCCCTGCTTCGGGAACTGATTCTTCGCATTACGACAATCTAAAAACAGCTGATCGTCGGTTTTCAAAATGGCCGCCCACTGTGCAAAATGGCTCCCCGCTGTGATTAGGATGGATTTTTCGTTTAACAGGCACCGGAAAATGGCCGCCCTTATGGAGGATCTTCACTGGACAATTAGGTATTTAGTCCATTCGAACGCATTGAGTGGACACTTAGGTATTTAGCCCATTGGAACGCAATGCGTTTCAATGGTTTTTTCCCCTCGCTTGACGATGATTTCGTTCTACAGTGATTTCGCTGGAACGGATTAACATCGTCAAGCGAGGCACTACTGTATTAATTTTTGCTCCAAAAAAAAGCATTAGGGCTTATTATCAGGGGATGTTTCATTTTTTTTCATGTACAATACTCTACATTTATTTAAATACAGTCTTGTCATATTCTGGTTGCTGTACAATGGTGGAGGGCAGGGTTTCAATT